TTAAATTGATTTATTGGTTTAAAAAATTTTATGATACAATCAGTGTTTGAAATTTCAGACTCAAATACTGTTCTCATAAGAACAATAAAATTATAATTGATGTTTTCAAACTATTGTTTTATGTTCACAATCGAAAAAAAACAAAGAACTAAACTATAATGATCGAAATAATTATGAATTAATCATACGTATTAGCAACTAGATATCTTTAAATTAGTATCTAATTTATCGAATTTATAACTACATATCAGAATTACATGTATTATTATATTGCGATCAGTTATATTCATCAACTTCTGGCTTAGCATTATAATGCTATTACTATATATTTATAAGAACACAATTATTATTTTACTGTTCTCGAAAAATTTTTAATAGTGAACAGTAAAAAATTTAGACTGTGCACAAATCTATAATAATGTTCTCATAAGAACTCTGAGAACACTAATTTCAAACACTGCATGTAATGCTAGTAAGATTATCACAAAAACGGACAAAAATTGGCATAGTGTGGGCCAGAGATTTATGTATTAAAAAGGTATCAATATATATTAGAATTTTAAACGACATACAAACAAACCGTAATATATACAAAATTTTTTGCACTAGTGATATTAAACGCAAGCATAAAGTAATAAGACATCTAATTCTATAATTTTATCAAAATTTAAAAATTTTTTTTTCAGTTAGTAACTAAATTCGATAGACAAAGGTAACATATGAAAATAGTTCAATAAAACCAATATGTATAAACAAACGGAATTGTATCATATAGATGGAGAACATCGTAATCTCACCAATAACGCAAGCAAATCGTGCATAGCACAAGTGATTTTTTTTTAAAAAAAACGATTTACCTTATCCGGTGTGATTAAAATATGTTCAGTCATTACTTTGAACTCCAAATTTAGTATACACGTGATTTTTATAGTTCATCCGGCGATACCACACAACATTAATATTGTTTACAAAATATGAATCCGAAAGAAATTGATTGAATGAATGAAAGTTACATCCGTATTTGCTAATAAATGTCAGGAAATATGAAGTGACTATACGAATGTTGTGGAACATTTGGAAAGAGTATAAATACCATACATGCCTTGGGATATCTATTTATAAATTAAGCAGGTGTTTTATAATGTATGTATGTACTTAGGGTGGATAGAGGCACAAAATTTTCACTCTGTTAAATAAGGTTTTAAAGAATTACTGAATGATATGCAATTAAGAGAGCACAAAAGGAATAAAGGAGCGAAGAAAACTTTCACAAGCGACATGGTCACGTAAGTACATACCTACCTATATCCTCAGTAATTATGTTTACCTCAATAATTATGTTAAATTATGTTAAAATAAATCACGCACAATAAAAAGCGGGAACTTGGGAAAATAACAAGTAAATCTCGTTTCAGCAAGAGTGGCCGAACGGCACGGAGATGAATTGGCGTAAATCGAAATGATCTGTCCGGAGGATCTTAAATTGTTAGTTCGCATGCGACCGACGGAGTAATATATATGACTGACCTAAACATGGGACAACATGGGACGTGACCATCATTTGATGAGCCTTTTCAACCTCATTATACTTAAATTGTCTCACGGTTGCTTGCCATAGTCTGGTTTTGGAACCATGTTAATAATAGCGATATTTTTTACGTATGAGAATAATAGAAGTACGGAGGTTATTTTAATATAAATTTTCTTTTTATGTACTGAAGCAATACCAACAACGACTAGTCCAATTAGTTGAATAGTAACGGTAAAAAAGATGATGGATTGCAAAAATAAGACCCTCAATATTTATTATTTTTATTATTTATTTATTTATTTATTTATTTGAAATTTTGCAGTATTTTAATGTATGAATTGCACACTATTTTAATCATTTTCAAAGTATTGATACGAAAATGCAAGTCTTTTAGAAAGATTCAGTTCTCTCGGATTCGCAAATGGAACCCCTAGCAAAGCCCAAGCCAGAAACAAACACCTCATCAACGAGATACATAATTGGATGGTGTGAATGAAATGCTACACCGTAATTCAAATACTTGATTACATATGGTATAGATATGTATGTATCGTATTTTGGCGATTATGTTGTGGCTCCATCTGCTGACCTTTTTGAAATTTGTTTCCCCTTTCCCTCGGCGAAACAAAGGAGCGATTTATGATATTATCTAGAGAATTTTTTAGATTTAAAAGCACCAAATCATGTCTTTCACATGCCATTTTGCTTTTTGCACTGCCTATTTTAAATCCTGTCTTCCAAGCCGCCTCGTTTTTGTGCTATACATTTATAATAAAAATCAAGTTCCCATGACAACTCGGATCCTATCTTGTCATGTGATCTTCTTCCGACCGTTATTTGACCGCCATCGAATATATCGAATATAGATGGGATGGAAAAATCATAAGATTGTGAAATCGTGATCTCGGTTGACAAAATTCTTGATTACTGGCTTGCTGATTTTCATTTCTTTATTATATTTATCCACTGGCTTTTCCTGTAGTGGTAGTAACACCCAAAAAAAACACTGACCGGACCCCTTCCGCATTCTAACTATCATGCTATCTCTATATCTGGTCATACCAGATCAGGAATGTTGATTCTGGCCACCGGTCATTCGTTGTTCACTCATTTACCTTAGTCATTTGTCATCGAGATTTTTTTAAATCCTATATAGAAGACTTAAATGGACAACTTTCTTCCACAGCTTCACTCAATACTTTTTCCCTTGCGACTATCTGTTTTTCTTTTTGCGAATAATTCGGATAATTGTATTTGTAATATTTATCTTGGACGTTACTTTTTATTCTTATTGATGTGTTTGGTTCGTATCCGTTCCATTTCTTTCTGCGTGTCTTTTTTTTTTCCTGTCTTCAAAACCATTGTTCCTTCTGACTTCGTTCTTAAATAGACAAGAAAAAAAACCCGTATTTGATAGACAGTCAGTCAACTTACATAGCTAATAAACTCCGATAAAAAAAAACTTTTCTTTTTATTTTCCTATTACCTGAGACAGTAATTCAAACTAAGCCATATATTATTAATTGACATTATATAAAAAGGGTCTCCTCTCTTCCTGCGACATAAATTTAAAGTCTAGTTGAAGTTTTCTGTATATATTAACTTCTTGTAATTTTAAAAATCTTTTTCCTTAGTACCCTTCTCACTTTATATTGCTGTTGTTAGTTGAGTTTTTGTCCAAGGCTTCTCACATATTCCTTATACGATGTCGTTCACTGAAGTTGGGGAGTCTCTTGGTCCTATAGTTGCCACAACTCAGCAAACAACGAACTTTCATTATTATAATACCCAGGGTGATTCAGATAACGAACAGGATTATGTAGGGACCCCGCCTTACTCAAACGACGAATCTACCCTCGAAGGTGACAACAGTGAAGAAGGAATGGAAGGCGTCTCTGATAGTGAAGAAGAAACTGACAATCGAGAATACCCTTATCATAATGTTACAACAGAAGACGAAGAAGACGAGGACGAAGAAATGGACGTCTGTACTTCTGACGATTCTGAATCGGACGAAACTGAAGACGAACAAGTTACTCAAAATATCCTTCCCGTACAAAATCAAGGATTCGAAGGTGGTAGCGACTTTAATACGTATCGAAACAATAACGGAATAACCAACGGTAATGTCATTGACATCGGCAATAATAATCTCAACAATAGCAACAACGGTAACAGCGCCAACAACAACAACAACGTGTTGCCTCCTATTCAATTGCTTCACAGAAATCCTCCTCCGTCAATGCCTACATCAACTTTGTCTGCTCCGTCTTCATCATCAAGATCTCTTGGATCTGATATTCAATTCAGCGATAGATTACTTGCTTTCAATACAATGCATGCGCGAAGCTTGAATAATAGAGATCTTCATTCAAATCATCATGTTGGCAGTTATAATATACCTTCTTTTCCTGATGGCTTCCCAGTTCCTCAACCACCATCCATTTTTAGGTTTCCTAACGTGAGCCAACCTCCTAATTATACTGTTAGAAATGATATTACTGTATCTCAGCCAACGACAACAACATCTTCAAATGCTCCTCAACAAAAGCAAAGTCCTTTGAGATTTGGTTTTCCGGATTCTCAAGAATCACGTGATAATGAAGTGAATGACGAAGAAGAAGATGGTTCCTCATCTACAAATTCATCGTCTTCACGAAAAAGAGCAAGGTCAATTTCAAATGATTGGACTAATACCGCTTCAAATTCACATTTTGTTCCATCATCTATACAATTTGGTTCTTTGGAACCCATTAATCGAGATGGTATCGGTGGTAGGTCTACTGTTGGTAATAACGTGCAGGCATCTGCTCGTTCTTCTCCACTTAATCGTTCGACACCGGGAAATCATGCTCCGGTTATTAATAATTATCAGGATATAACCGATGTCCCTCCTACTCCTTTATCTCCACCCATAAATTATGTACCTCAATATGTTCCACAACCCAATCGTATCCCTACTTATGTCACATACACTCAACCTTCATCTAATTCCTCTCAATCATCATCTATACTGATACGTCCACAATCTCAACAAAATTTTTTCAATCGTATGTCATATGTTAGTAACGCATCAAGAAGAAACTTTCATAATCTTACTCAACCATTAGATACTTCTTTGAGAAGATCATCACATCATACTAGTGACGAACAACAACAATCTTACAATAATTACACATCAGTTGGTTCCGAACCTTCCAATGTTATATATCCTGAAGTAGTATCTTCACAACCAGAAAGAAGGCAACATCATACACATACTAATGTACATATACAGAACGTGTCACAAGGGCCTAGGGGATCATCATCATCTAGATGGGCGCCTTCAAATCGAAGTCGTACGGATGTGTTGACTAGATCAATTATTCCAAATCCACATTTCCGTCGTACAGCAATTCGTCCAAACACTTTCACAGGTGCTGGTAACCATTCAACTTTTGGCGTTCCGTTGCAGGAGTCCTCTAGAAGTGATGAAGAGCCAGACACCGCTATTGATTTGCCAGAAAGTTCGGATAGTGAGGTCAATGTAACAACCACTCCGAGTCGTCCTCCATGGATAAATAGAGCTATTAGACGTCATGATATACGCCAGGATTCCAATGCACGTGACTCACGGCAACCTATAAGTAATCGAACTTTAGTGCCATCGGCATCTACAACGAATGCCGTAAGAAACAATTCTTCTGATAGTCATGCTTCAGATGAGCAATTGGCAAGAAGGATGCAGGCACATGAATTCAGTTCTACACATCAAAATCTCGTAAGTTTAACTTGTTCCACCATTCAGATCACTCATATGTTATTAAAAATAATTTTATTTTGATTGTATGATAGAATGATGAACATAATTCTGTGACAAGACTTTTTGGATTTCGAGGTATGCTTATATTTTGAAAATACGCGTAATATCTTTTATTTTGAAATATCTATTGTCATCGACTGATATGAATTTATCGCGATTTGTCTTTTGTGAAATCAGCTCGTCCTTCATCCCGTCGCGATACGGGAACGAACTCGTCAACAACTTCACGAAGTGGTTCTGTCAGGAGGGACACATCAACCCGTGCACCAATACCCAGATTACCAGACATGTTATCACACCATGATCGTCATCATAATGAAGAACGTGGAAGTGAATCACGATCCCGTACTCATGGTTTACGCAACGGCCAATCAAGGAACGTAAGGCAAGGTGGTCATTATATACATCATTTCATACCGAATTATCCGTTATTAGAGAACCTTATTGATACTGGTGAACTAGAAGACTTTATTGATATGATACCAGAGTTTTGGGGGTATGCACGTTTTTAAATGCGTCGCAATATTTTAGTAAAATATTACACATGTTAATACTCCGCCTTTTCATTAGCAATGGTATGGCTGCTAATCCAGATAACTACCTGGTAGGTGATAACTTAATTCCAGTGTGTTTTGTACTTTAGACACGACATAGGCATATATGAAACAGGATATAGTCGCAACTTTTGTATTAATTTTTTTTTTTTTTCAGGATGATGATGAGTTTGACGCTAGTTACGAAGGATTGCTTAGGCTAAGTGAACAAATCGGCGACGCGAAACCTAAAGGTGTTCCAGAACATGTAGTCAATACTTTACCAACGAAGCCATATTTAATGAGTAAAGCAAGAAGTCCTGATGAAAGGTATTTGGCACATTAATTTTGCATACGAGTGTTGAAGACTAAAAACCTATAAATGGATTCAATAATTACTATAATCAGTTACAGGTTTTCACTCTGCAACATTCACGTATTTTATTTGTTTATTATTACATTTATTTAATATCTTTTTCTTTACGAGCAGATGTACAATATGTTTATCAGAATATGAACTTAATGATTGGCTCCGGGATTTACCATGCGCGCACGATTTCCACAAAGAATGCATCGATAGTTGGTTTAAGAATTCTGACAAGTGTCCAATTTGTCGACGTAGCATTCTGGAAAAATAGGGAACTCTGAACTTCAATGGAAATACATTCAAAATCACTTAAAGAAATTGTCAGTTTCCAGTTTAGAGTTTTCTTATATCCCTTCGGAGGAATTTCCGGGCAGTTTGGTTATTGAAAATCTAACATTGTGCTTGGCAAAAAGGATCTATAGTGCAAGGAAGAATAAGCATTGTAATATTGTATAGATTACCGTTTTTCACATTTTCTTCATAATTCTTACCTGATATATGACAAAAAAAAAAAAAAAAGGAAAAAAAAGAAAAAAAACTAATAAAATTATTTCCTTATTTTTTTTTAAAAAAAAAAAAAAAGAAAAAGAAGCAAATGCGAAAAACAAAAGAAACAAATCAACGCAAAAAAAAAAAAAAAAAAAAAAAAAAGGAAAAAAGAAAAAAAAGGAAAAAAAGCAGATGGTTCATTATGCATTCATTTTAGCGGTATTTTGTTCTTTTTTTGGAAATTAAACCTTGTTTTTAGGATTTCATTTTGCTTATTCGTTTTTGTATGGATCGATGTTAAAAACGAATTTATAATATGTTATTTATGTAAACATATTATTTATTGTATAATAATCGTTTATGTATGGGTACTATTCACAATATCTGATATTTGAATTACTGATATTTGAATTTGTGATCTGTAAAAAAATTAAAATGTGTATAGTTAAATAATATATGAGACGTATTGAGTATTCAGAACGGGCGCATATAGCTTAAGATATCAATATACCAACCATTTTAATTGCATTTAACAAATTAATGTTTTAAAAAACAGTTTTAACGTTAAATTATATCCTAAAAATCCCATAGGGTATGTATCGGTACAAGAAAAAATATATATAATTTAGAGTTGGGGTTGAAGGTGTATATATTTATATATAAAATAAATATTAGACATTTTTACTTAAAGCATTATATTTTTATTCTGATATTAATGATTTTTCTTATACACTCGCTAATATCAACCCATTTGGATCGCTCTTATATTCATGTTGATCGTGATATTAGTGAGGGATTATGATATATATGAAGGGATTTTGGTATATAAAAAAATTTGTCTTGTGGCTTAGGTTGATATTAACGTATAGATTGATATTAACGAGGGTCATGTGTATATGTGTCAGATATGTCTGATTAAACTTAGGTGCCGCGATTTTGATTGGTCAACGGTAGTGTTCCGCAGATCCGATCCGAGGACCCGGATCCGATCCGGATCCGGTGTTCGGATCGGATCCGGATCTACGATTTTTAAGTACTACCGAATCCGGATCCATATTGGGATCCGATCCGGTAGATCCGTTTGGATCCGTTAACTATAATTGGCTAGAAATATTATATTCTGATTGGCTTATATTATTTTAAAAAAAAAGCGTTCTCTTAACTTCTAAGCTATTTTTTTTATCTCTAAACCGTTAAATGCTTTTTTTATTATAAAGAT